TGACCTTCTTCTAACCTGCAGTTGTCCTCCTTACTTACAGTTGACCTTCTTCTGACCTGCAGTTGTCCTTCTTCTGACCTGCAGTTGTCCTCCGTCTGACCTGCACTTACAAAAGCCCATAGATACAGACCCTTAACACTGACTGACCTTTTGATGGATGGACACCAAGGACTTGTCTGAGAAAACCAAGGGGAATTTACTGACCACACCTGTTTATTGCTACAGTCCTGCTGGGAATGGAGTTATGATGACTGTCTCATCCTGTGTAATCATATCCACAAAACTCAACTCAGAGCCAGAGAACTGGAACAGTGGATCTTTTTGATCATTTTTGATAAACCTTTCTTATATATAATTTCAGAATAAGCAAATATTATCTAAATACATTTGTTGTGTGTTCTTTCTTGATTCTTGGTGAGCTTTTTGTAGCTCTTCCAGATCTGTGCAGTAATCCAGTGTGAAACGTTGCCTCTATGCAGGAGCTCCTGTACTAAAGACCGCTCACTGCTGGTCGCTCTCCTTGTGCAGAGTGACTGGTCTTGTCTCCGCCCCTTAATGTAGTTTTTGCAGGTAGCCTGTAGCGGGTAGAGCCTGCTGGATCCCTCCCACAGCTCTGCACTCTGCACAGACAAGAGGAAGTGTTATTAGGCTACTCTCTCTCTCCGGGTTGAATGTCATTCTTCTTACCCAATAGAATGAATTAGGAAAATACCATTTTTTGGCCAGTAGATGGAATTGATGATTACAGGAAATAATTACATATTTACTATTATTATCAGCAAAGTCTAGTGGCCATAATGTGATATTTTCCTGATTCACTTGCACCTATATGAAAAAAAAAATATAATTTGGTCTGGAGAAAATAGCCTAATCGCATTAAGTGTTGCCCCCATTTGCACATAATGAATTTACATGCATTTTAACCCCTTGACGCCGACGTAACACAAATATGCGGCCTCACGGAACTGGGCTTTTTTCCGTGGGGCCGCATATTTGTGCACCTGTCTTTGTGCTGGGAGCAGGGGCGGACAGACCATTCAAGCACTCGGGCACTGCCCTAGGGTCCAGGGTCAGTAGGGGGCCCATGAAATGCCCCTGGTACCTTTTATAGGCTTTTTTGGGTGTGCTTTGAGTGTGGGCAAGGACACAGGGGCCCCATGATCCCCTATTGCCCAGGGGCCCCATGAGTTGTCAGTCCACCCCTGTGTCCCCCTGAAGCAACTGCGCATGTCCTGGTTTCAGGTACGATCAATCAATGATAGAACTACTGCTATCGTCGATTGATCGTGCCTGAAACCGGGACATACGCAGTTGCTTCAGGGGGGACATCTACATGGGAGACACATATTGCCGCTACACCGGACCCACTCCAAGAAAAGGTAAGTTGTAAAGAAAGCTGACAATCCCCGCAGGATGGATCGGATCTGCAGATTGAGCATAATGTATCGGAGTCTGATCCATTATGCTCAATCCGCAGATCCGATCCATTCTGCGGGGATCGTTGGAGAGGGTGTCACCATCACCATGAATTGTCAGTGCGCCCCTGGCTGGGAGCGCGCTGTATGGCGTGCTCCCAGCACAAAGACCACGGTGTCACTGAGAGCCCTGGGTCCTGTTCTAACGATCGGGACCCAGGACCCTTGATTCCGGGTCACATGATCACTGTGATAGCCTCTGATAGGCTATCACAGTGATCAGTCACTGTACAGCCCAGCCCCCTAGTTTTTTTTTCTCTCTATGAATGGAGGAGAGAAATTCATTGCATCTCTCTAACTCCTGGCATACAGGGAAACACATGTTTGTAAAAAAAAAGAAAAAAAAAAAAGATAAATACATATTAAAAAATAAAGAAAAAATACCTAGATCAAGGTTTGATCTAGTTCAGTGCCAGAGTTAGTGTTTCGGTCAAGGTCAGGCTCAAAGGTCAAGGTCAAAGGTCAGGGTCAAAGGTCAGGATTTAAAGAAAAATTGGTATCACTGTCAGTGTGTTGTAGGTAAAAAAAAAGACAAAAACAAAATGCGCACTATTGTTTCTGGGCTGTACTACGGGTACAAACAACAAATAACACACATATATGGTATCGCTGCGATTGTCAAGAGCTGGAGAATTTATTTTGGGTTGTCCTTTGGTGGTAGGTTATGGTCGTAACAAGAAACACACAGCTAAATAAAAAAAATATATTTTTTTTTACTATTTTGGGCCAGTTTTCCTTTGAAAATAAAAAAAAAATCAGGAGATATCCATTACCATTTATCACCAAATGAAAGTCCAATTTGTCCTGAAAAAATCAATGTATAATCCACCCGGATGTACAAAGTAGTTGTGATGATATGGACGGTTTTAATAACACAGGTCAAAATTGCAAAATTGTGCTTAGGCATTTAGATTTGTTTTACCCTTAGGCGTGAAGGGGTTAACAGAATGGAAAGCGCTGCAGTTTGTCTTTGGGGGAGGGGGTTTACAAATACACCCCTTCAGGAGCGGACTGACAACTCATGAGGCCCCTGGGCAATAGGGGATCATGGGGCCCCTGTGTCCTTGCCCAAACTCAAAAAAGCCTATGAAAAAGGTACCAGGGGCATCTCATGGGGCCCCCTACTGACCCCGGGCCCTCGGGCAGTGCCCGAGTTTCCAAATGGTCAGTCCGCCCCTGCACCCTTTACATTAGCAGGTATTACCTATGACAGCAAGATAGGCCAACTGTAGATCAATGCAGTGAGAGAGACAGAGAGATGGGCCCATCAGTCTCTGGGGAGAGCCCTATGCCCTGTGTAAGCTCTTACTGGAGCCATGTGTAAGCTCTTGCTGGAGCCATGTGTAAGCTCTTACTGGAGCCATGTGTAAACTCTTACTGGAGCCATGTGTAAGCTCTTACTAGAGCCATGTGTAAACTCTTACTGGAGCCATGTGTAAGCTCTTGCTGGAGCCATGTGTAAGCTCTTACTGGAGCCATGTGTAAACTCTTACAGGAGCCATGTGTAAGCTCTTGCTGGAGCCACCTAAGCTTAAATATAATGTTCCTCCTTTTCTCTACGCACTTGATGAGTGAAGGGAAGGTATGTGGAGCTGGGGGGGGGGGGAGTGGTAATAAAGTGTCCCTGTTGCTTTGGTGTCTTTCAGCTATGCAGAGGTTCACTTGAAAAGGTACAATATGTAACCTCAAGTCTATATTTTCTTCCACATGCCTACTGGGTAATGTTTGGATGTAACACATCCAGGTATTTATTACCTCTCACAGAGATCATAGTACTCCCCCATGACAATGCCTTCATCGGCTTTTCTCCAGAAGGACGGAAACATCTTTGTTTAGGCATCATCCAGGGTCACCCTCTACTTCCTGGGCTCAGATGCCGGCTCAGGGAGGACAAAGTCATGTAAATCCTGGTGCCTGTGCAGTTCTTGGCTGTGTTCAATGGTATATTAAGGTTTTATGCTGCCCTAGGCAACACAAAATTTGTCCCCTCCCTGACATTGACCAACAACACCCCTGCCAAACCCGAGAGAGCCTTCCATTACCATCACCCCCATACACCAGCCACTCCCCTCCCAGCAAGAGAGAGAAAGACACTCACCTTCACAGCTGTGGACATCCCCGGGAAGGAGAGTCATGCAGCCTGCAGCCTCTCTTAGATCCCACCTGGTTCCCAAGCGTGGTTCCCATGTGTCTTTTCTTTTGTCCCTTCTTCCAGGGGAGCGGTGCTGCCCCCCTGAAAAATGCCACCCTAGGCAAATGCCTTGTTTGCCTTGTGGTAAATACACCCCTGGATGTCTTCACGGGTTAGTTTATAGCAGCTGGCTACAAAGTTGCAACGTTGCAGTCTGATAACTGTGGGAGAGGACTGAATAAATGCTTCCTCCTTCCTGCAGCAGAATGATGACATCATCTCAGTCCAGACAAAGTTAGTTGAATGGAGACCGAGGGAGGCTTTTAAATGATAAAAAGGTTGTGACGGGAGTGACTTTGGGTGGGGGGCCGATGGAACACAGCCCCCTTTGGAGAGGTGGGGAGACCCCTGTCTCAGCTCCCCAAATTCCTCTTATGTGTAAGGCTCCCTGTGCCTGTTAGGGGTACAGGGTGATCTGTCCTAATATTGTGTAGACATTAATAGGTTGGGTGTGGGGGTTGTTCATTGTTCACTGCCAGGTGCTGCATCCCACTGTTCTATTGTGTCTTGCTTGCCAGCAAACTATTATGGGATGTATGCGTTCCTGTATTGTCTACTGCCAAGTGGGTGGTGTATCCTATTGTTCTATTGTGTGTCTTGGTTTGGTGGGGGGTGTTTCCGGCAGCCCTTCCCCCTGATGGGACGGCCTGCTGATGTGCTTCCTCCTGTTACTGGTTGTATTTCCCCGCCCTGTGTATATATCTTGTGTTCAGGGGCAGACTGACAACTCATGGGGCCCCTGGGCAATAGGGGATCATGGGGCCCCTGTGTCCTTGCCCAAACTCAAAAAAGCCTATGAAAAAGGTACCAGGGGCACCTCATGGGGCCCCCTACTGACTCCAGGCCCTCGGGCAGTGCCCGAGTTTCCAAATGGTCAGTCCGCCCCTGCTTGTGTTAAAACAAAGCAGTTGACTTCCTGTCTTAAGAAGAGCATGGTGCTGCTTTTTCCTGCTTGGTCAGCGGTGGGGTCCGTGGTCGGTGTTCGAACACGGAAGCGGGAGTATAACAGAAATACCCTAGCGCAGTCGGGGTCCGCTTCCATTACAAAGGTGGAGTTTTCTTTGTAAAAAAAAAACTGTTGCTGTTGCCATATTACATGGCATGTAAGGAATTAATTCATGTAGGTTAATGAAAGGTCTATTTGGCCTTCATGGTCTTCACTGCACATTCTCCTAAATTCTACTTTTTGGGTTTTGTTTTGCAAATTATAGAAAATGTTTTCCATTACAGAAAAAAGCCTAACTCTGAAAAAAAAGAGGCAGCATAGGTTTTGTTTCATGTTACTTTATTGTCACAGTTAGTTGTTTCAGCATTTGTCTGGACACAGATGTAGTTTATTGGAAGTAGTGCACTCGTCTGAAGGACCCAACTCTGGGGCTTGTGGCTCCCCAGTCGCTATATCTCTTGTACTCTCCAGGTTTCAGGTAATACTGACGTCCTCTGAAGTTGGGCTCCTCATAGAACATCCAGTAGCCATCATGGACGTGGCAAGAATGAATGTCATGGTAGCGGAACCTCTCGTAGACATGAGAACAATCCTCAGTGAACTCCATCATCTGACCTCGGAAGTCTTCTCTCTCGTAAATCCTGATTCTGAAGGAACCTTCATGCTGTAATACAAATTAAGATCAGAATTTATTCAGGGAAACACGTGCCAAGGATCCTTTAATAGGGTTTCTGCTTTATCTATAGGCAGTGGTGTATTTAGGTTTCGTGCTGCCCTAGGCAACACAAAAATAATTTCCTCCATGAAGAGACCCTGTGTCAGGGCTCTGGGTATGACCAGAGATGTGTGGACTGACACAGGGAAATGCAGGCTTCAGGTATAGTGTAAACAAGACAATTTATTAAAGACTAAGCAACACAAACGCAGTGCAAGGTAAACATAACACAGCGCATACAACCCAACCTCCAACAGATAACCATATATACAAATCAAACGTAGTCGGGCAGGCCGGGTTGGTAGCAAATGGGCAAACAGGGTACCAGGAGCGAGCGGAAGAGTGGTCAGAAATAGCCAAGGTCAGGACAGGCAGAGTTCGTTCAGAGTCAGGATCAAAGCAGAGTCAGGATCAGGCAGGAAGCAGACAGGATGCAGGTACTGGGGCTCATGGGAAACATACACCAAGGCACTGACTGCAGGTCTGGCCATTCCTTAAATACACCTTCTGCAATCAGCCTCAGGTGACGGCTGACTGCAGGAGTGAGCTTCTGGTTGCTGAGAGCACCCGCTGGCCAGCCCTGGTACTGCCCACACGGCAGATGAGTCCCACCACTAATGGTGAGTCCATTCCTGACACCCTGACATTGACCAACACCACCCTCCCCCAGGAAGGGTGCCTGACATTGACCAACAACACCCCACACCCCTCCTTCCCCCACCCTAGAGAGCCTTTCACTACCACCGCCCCCATACACTGGCAACTCCCCCCACCCCAAAAAGAGAGAAGCATACACCATCAAGCAGCCCACAACCTCTCTCAGATCCCACCTGGTCCCCATGCTGTGTGTGTCTCTTCTTCCACCCCCTCTTTAAGGGGGCGGCGCTGCCCCCCTGAAAAATGCCACTGCCCCCCTGAAAGATTCCGCCCTAGGCAAATGCCTTGTTTGCCTTGTGGTAAATACGCCCCTGTCTATAGGCTTATCAAATTTTCTCTTTAATTTCTTATAGTAAAAGAGAAAAAAAAAATATGTGAGAAAAATGAATACCTTCTGTTTTAAGCAGGCTAGACTGTGCTACACACTGATTCAGTTGGAGGACTTTTTAATTCCTTCAGTTTCTTCTCAACACAACCTGTTTGCTTAACCCCTAGATGCCGCGCATGTGCAAATATGCGGCCTCTCGGTGTCTGGGCTTTGATGCCGAGTGGCCACATATTTGCGTGCTATTAGAAAATACATATGTGCTGAGAGCACGTGACTCACGGAAAGGTCCCAATCTCCCCTTGCGATTGGGACCTTTTCCGATCATGTGACCGCCGTGACAGCGAATCACGGCGGTCACATGACCCTAAAACCCCGCCCACCTCCCGGCCTCTAAAACTCTTAAAGGGCCGGGAGGCGCCTGGAGCAAAGGGGTTAAACTATCTTGTTGGGCCCCAAGCTCAACTCCATAGAAGTCATGATTTTTATACACTACACTGATGACGTCCATACTAGGTCAATTATGTCACTAACTTCTCCGCCCCTTTTGTGTACACACATGCCCTCAACATGGGGTAGTGCCTTGCCAGGGAGGATCCTCCCTGGCACAGCACCTTGACCCATTTTACCTAAAACAAGGACCTCTTCCCCACAACCCTAGTAGTTGTGGGGGTCTATGGGCAGGTGGCTTATCGGAATTTGGAAGCCACCATTAACAATTACAGGTCTTCTAAAGTTACTGATTCCCCGCCCCACCATGTGAATGAGTAAGAGGCACATAGTACCCCTACTCATTCACAAAAAATATAAAGTGTAAATAAAAATAAATATGCAGCCTTTCAAGTCCTTTGATTATAAAAAAAATCTGAACATATAAAGTCAATGGCTATCACAAAGATCCCTTGAAGTCACTGAATATTGGTCATGTCCATACATGGTCATTGGCATCACTCTGGAGACCCCACCCCCTTCCATGTAACTGCAGTCATCCACTCTCCCTGTCATTTGGCTGGATTGAAGAGAACGGACTATGTGTTTTGAGGTGGTTTTTTTGTTGTTTTCAGCGGGTATTAGGCATCATGACTGGTGTGGATCTACATCACTGGAGGACATTATTGATGATGAATGAAAATTGTGAGCCTTGCCAGCCAGGCTGCATGCTTGGATAAAGGGTCTGGTATAGATTTGTAGGGGAACCACTCTCATTTTTTTGGCATGGAGTAGCCCTTAAAGCCAATACCAGACTCAAAGAATCTATTATGCATTTTGGGGGGCTCTTTGGGCAGAATTTGGAGGGGGCTCCACCTTTTTTTTTCCATTCTTGCTGCAGGATGTGCTAAATAATAAAAACAAATGGTACAGTTTGAAATGCAAGCAAATAACCTTTCATTGACCTGCTATGTATTTTGGGAGAGCTTTGGAGAGTTCCACCCATGTAGCAAATTTTTGCCAGTTCATGTGTACCCACCATGAAAGTGAATTTGTCCTTGATGTTTCAGTTCCCAAATATTGCATGCTGGTAGGATGACTGTTATGTAGAGCCTACTGTGTAAGTACAGTGAAGGAAATGCATATTTGCTCCTCTGCTGATTTTGAACGTTTGCCCACTCACAAAGAAATGATCGGTCTAAAAATCAAATGTTCGGTGTATTGTAACACTGAGAGACAGAATACAACAACAAATTCAGCAGAAATGCGTCTAACAAATGATGACTGATCTGCATGTTCATGAGGGAAATAAGGATTTGATCCCCTTCACAAAACATGACTTAGTACTTGGTGGCAAATCCCTTGTTGGCAATCACAGAGGTCAGACGTTTCCTGTAGTTGGCCCCCAGGTTCGCACACATCTCAGGAGGGATTTTGGCCCACTCCTCTTGGCAGATCCTCTCCAAGTCATTAAGGTTTGGTGGCTGACGTTTTGCAACTCAAACTTTCAGCTACCTCCACAGATTTTCAGTTGGATTAAGGTCTGGAGACTGGCTAGGCCACTCCAGGACCTTAATGTGCTTCTTCTTGAGCCGCTCCTTTGTTGCCTTGGCCGTGTGTTTTGGGTCATTGTCATGCTGGAACACCCATCCACCACCCATTTTCAATGCCCTGGCTGAGGGAAGAAGGTTCTCACCCAAGATTTGAGGGTACATTGCCCCGTCCATCGTCCCTTTGATGCGGTGCAGTTGTCCTGTCCCCTTAGCAGAAAAACACCCCCAAAGCAGAATGTTTCCACCACCATGTTTCACAGTTGGGATTGTGTTCTTGGGGTCATAGGCAGCATTCCTCCTCCTCCAAACACGACGAGTTGAGTTGATGCCAAAGAGCTGGATTTTGGTCTCATCTGACCACAACACTTCCCACCAGTCCTCCTCTGCATCATTCAGATGTTCAGTGGCAGACTTCACATGGGCCTGGACATGTGCTTTCTTGAGCAGAGGGACCTTGCGGGCACTGCAGGATTTCAGTCCTTGTCGGCGTAGTGTGTTACCAATTGTTTTCTTGGTGACTGCGGTCCCAGCTGCCTGGAGATCATTGACAAGATCCTCACGTGTAGTTTTGGGATGATTTCTCACTGTTCTCATGATCATTGACACTCCACGAGGTGAGATCTTGCACGGTGCACCAGACCTAGGGAGACTGACACTTGTTTTGTGTTTCTTCCATTTGTGAATGATTGCACCAACTGTTGTCACCTTCTCACCAAGCTGCTTGGCCATAGTTTGGTAGCCCAGTCCAGCCTTGTGTAGGTCTACAATCTTGTCCCTGACATCCTTGGACAGCTCTTTGGTCTTTGCCATGGTGGAGAGTTTGGAATCTGATGGTTTGATGGCTCCTGTGGACAGGTGTCTTTTATACAGGTCACAAAATGAGATTAGCATCACTCCCTTTAAGAGACTGCTTCTAATCTCAGTTTGTTACCTGTATGAAAGACACCTGGGAGCCAGAAATCCTGCTGAATGATAGGGGATCAAATCCTTATTTCCCTCATGAACATGCAGATCAGTCATCATTTGTTAGACGCATTTCTGCTGAATTTGTTGTTGTATTCTGTCTCTCAGTGTTACAATACACCGAACATTCCATTGTTAGACCGATCATTTCTTTGTGAGGGGCAAACATTCAACATCAGCAGGGGAGCAAATACACATTTCCTTCTGTACGTCCTTACCTGGGGACTCAGACGACAAGACCTGATGGAGTCGTTGTAGCCCATCCATTGCTGGAAGTCAGGATAGTCTCCTCTATGGAGGAAGTACTGGTGTCCTCTGTAGTTGGGGCGCTCATACAGGATCCAGTTCCCGCTCTCCACACGGATGGAGTTGCAGCGTCTGAAGTACGAGGACAGGTCGGGACATTCGGAGTGACACTCGTAGGAGCGACCCTGGAAATTCCTGTCCTCGTAGAAGATGATCTGTTGAGTAAAAATTGGAAAATGTGGTTATCCTGTCCAGTAAATGACTTCAGCTTGCTGGTCAATCTATGTCCTCGTAGAAGGTGATCGATAAAAAAAATAAATAAATAGTACGGTTCTGAGCCCGGGTTCGCACTGATGCAGTGTGGAATTTGCAGCGTTTTCTGTGTGAATCAGAATCGCACCCTGTTCATGCGAACCGAAGCGGGTGTGTATGTTAAGTTAACTAAATAATAAGGGATCCTCCTGCGCTCATGGGAATGATTGACAAAATACAGCTGCTGTCACTTAGCTGATACCAATAAGTGCAAAATAAAATTAAAAATTAGTGAAGCGCTTGTATCACATGAATACAATCATGTATCTCCATATAGTGTAATTATAAATCAGAGTGACCACTATATATAATAAATGTGTGTTGACTCCCTCTAGTGAAAAGAAAAAATAGTGTCAACCAAAATAGCTAAATAACACACATTAGGAAACTAAATATATAGTGCATAAATCAAATATAATGAACAGAATATATATACGTGAAAACAGAATATTGGCCACATACAATGGTGTCTAAATTATACATAAATGATATATGCCATAGGTGAACAAGACAATATCAAAGGTGAAAAAAATATTCCATGCATGTGACTGTGCTTTAAGCTGGAACACACACGTGATCTCCACTTCTAAGTGCAAGTACTCTCCTTCAAATGGCAGCAATGCCTGCTCACCTCCCTTCCTCGACCCACACAGGGCCTCAAAGCAGTTACCACCTCAGTGGTGTATTCCTCTGGCAGACTCCTTATTCCTCCTCCTCTCTTTTGCAACTCATAAAAAGACAAGAAAGCCTTCCATAGTGTAGTAAATTTAATAGGCAAAGTTAAAAATTACAAAGTTTTCCACTCACATGCTCCTTTCCATAAAAAAGCGTTTTTCCCAGCCTGTGGGTAGATATGCATGCACCTGGGGGAATCCAATATGGCCACTGTGTCCGGACATACGTCACCAGGAAGTAGACAAACCGACGCGTAGCGTCACGTGCGTCGTGACTTCATCAGGGTTACCTGATGAAGTCACGACGCACGTGACGCTACGCGTCGGTTTGTCTACTTCCTGGAGACGTATGTCCGGACACAGTGGCCATATTGGATTCCCCCAGGTGCATGCATATCTACCCACAGGCTGGGAAAAACGCTTTTTTATGGAAAGGAGCATGTGAGTGGAAAACTTTGTAATTTTTAACTTTGCCTATTAAATTTACTACACTATGGAAGGCTTTCTTGTCTTTTTATGAGTTGCATAAGAGAGGAGGAGGAATAAGGAGTCTGCCAGAGGAATACACCACTGAGGTGGTAACTGCTTTGAGGCCCTGTGTGGGTCGAGGAAGGGAGGTGAGCAGGCATTGCTGCCATTTGAAGGAGAGTACTTGCACTTAGAAGTGGAGATCACGTGTGTGTTCCAGCTTAAAGCACAGTCACATGCATGGAATATTTTTTTTCACCTTTGATATTGTCTTGTTCACCTATGGCATATATCATTTATGTATAATTTAGACACCATTGTATGTGGCCAATATTCTGTTTTCACGTATATATATTCTGTTCATTATATTTGATTTATGCACTATATATTTAGTTTCCTAATGTGTGTTATTTAGCTATTTTGGTTGACACTATTTTTTCTTTTCACTAGAGGGAGTCAACACACATTTATTATATATAGTGGTCACTTTGATTTATAATTACACTATATGGAGATACATGATTGTATTCATGTGATACAAGCGCTTCACTAATTTTTAATTTTATGTTAAGTTAACAACACCCCCGAAATCGGTCCGCAAAACGTGGTGCATTGTGCAGAATGGGATCGCATATGTGCGATCTGATTCTAGTGCAGACCAAAAAAAGGGTCCTGCATGTTTTTGGTGCGGGTGCGGTGTGATGAGAGCCATACAAAATGTACGTCTCCGATCGCACTGCACACATATCGCATGTGATTGGCAGAGGAATGCGGTGCAGTTCCTGTGGGTTCCTGTGCGGTTCCTGTGTGGTTCCTGTGCAGTTCCTGTGCGGTTCCTGTGCTGTTCCTGTGTGGTTCCTGTGCAGTTCCTGTGTGGTTCCTGTGCGGTTCCTGTGCGGTTCCTGTGTGGTTCCTGTGCGGTTCCTGTGTGGTTCCTGTGCGGTTCCTGTGCGGTTCCTGTGTGGTTCCTGTGCAGTTCCTGTGCAATTCCTGTGTGGTTCCTGTGTGTTTCCTGTGCGGTTCCTGTGCGGTTCCTGTGTGTTTCTTGTGTGTTTCCTGTGCTGTTCCTGTGCGGTTCCTGTGTGGTTCCTGTGTGTTTCCTGTGCTGTTCCTGTGCGGTTCCTGTGCGATTCCTGTGTGTTTCCTGTGCTGTTCCTGTGTAGTTCCTGTGCGATTCCTGTGCGATTCCTGTGTGTTTCCTGTGCTGTTCCTGTGCAGTTCCTGTGTGGTTCCTGTGTGTTTCCTGTGCTGTTCCTGTGCGGTTCCTGTGCGATTCCTGTGTGTTTCCTGTGCTGTTCCTGTGCGGTTCCTGTGCGATTCCTGTGTGTTTCCTGTGCTGTTCCTGTGTAGTTCCTGTGCGATTCCTGTGTGTTTCCTGTGCTGTTCCTGTGCAGTTCTTGTGTGGTTCCTGTGTGTTTCCTGTGCTGTTCCTGTGCGGTTCCTGTGCGAATCACATGCGATATGCCGCATCGCATGTATGTGAACCTGGGCTAAAGCGATGCTAAAGCTTCTGTCAAATATGTCCTACTTACCTGCTCTGCGCAGAGGATTTTCACAGCGCATCCCCGATCTTCTTCTTTTTGGGTCCCCACTGGCGCTCCTGGCTCCTCCCCCTCGATCAGTGCTCCTGGAGAACATCTCTTGCGCTGGGGGTACTGCTGCGTCCCCGAGCCACTGCTCAATGCATCCGCAAGACACACACAGTCCCCACTCTCCCCTCATTGTAAATGGCCAATGGCTTCCGCTTCTGTCTCCAGCCAATGAGGAGGGAGTGTCCCCTTACAGCAGAAGCTCTTGTGAACATTGCTGGTTTGGAGGGGGCTCAGGAAAGGATTAGGGGGGCGTTGATGAGGCTGCACAGATAGGCAGCACAATGGGCGCTGATGGGCACTGATAGGCAGCACTGATAGGTGGCACTGATGAGCTGGCACTGATATTCAACAATGGTGGGCACTGATGGGCACTGATAGGAGGCACTGATGAGCTGGCACTGATATGCAACAATGATGGGCACTGATAGGCAGCACTGATAGGCGGCACTGATGAGCTGGCACTGATATGCAACAATGGTGGGCATTGATGGGCGGTACTGATGGGCACTGATAGGCAGCACTGATAGGTGGCACTGATGAGCTGGCACTGATATGCAACAATGGTGGGCACTGATGGGCACTGATAGGAGGAACTGATGAGCTGGCACTGATATGCAACAATGATGGGCACTGATAGGCAGCACTGATAGGCGGCACTGATGAACTGGTACTGATATGCAACAATGGTGGGCACTGATAGGCGGCACTGATGGGCACTGATAGGAGGCACTGATGGATGACACTGACTGACAGCACTGACTGTTGGCACTGCTGGGCATTGACTGGCGGCACTGCTGGGCACTGATGGTTGGTACTGCTGGGCAGCACTGATGGGTGGCACTGCTGGACACAGGTGGGCGGCACTGCTGGGCACTGATCATCGGTGCCGATCCCTCCTCTGACAATTGCCGGTTATTGGCAGTACTTTCCTCACACTGTGACAGCGTGAGGAAAGTGCAGCCGAGAACCAGCAACTGCATTTAACTGATAGCTGTCATTGGACACGGCTGATCACGTGATAAAAGGCCGCCGTGATTGGCCTTTTACCACATCACATGATCAGCTGTGTCTGTAGGACTTTTTGCAAAACAATATTGCAAAAAATCTGAAGAATATATTTAAAAAAAATATATTTTTTTAAATATATATATATATATATATATTTTTTAAATATATTCTTCAGATTTTTTTTAACATATAAATAAGTCATTTTAACAGATATTTTTACATATATTTGTAAATGCGTTCCAAAAATGCAGATTTGTATTTGAAAGACATACAGTATATTTGAAATGTATTTTTAAAAATATTTTTCATATATTTTGTAATAAAAATGCATTTCAACATGCAGTATGTATATATATATATATATATATATATATTTTTTTTTTTTTTTTAATATATATATTTTTTAAATATATTGAATATGGACAAAATTGTAGTATTTCAAATATATTTTCTTCCATGTGGGTAACCACAACATACAAGGCCATCCCCAGCTATATCACAAACCTCACCTGCAGATATCACCCAAATATTCTGCTCTGCTACTCCCATATATTCCGCTCTGCAAAATCCCTTCTTACCTCCTCCCACGCTCACCTCCAGGACTTCTCAAGAACCTCTACCATCCTCTGGAACTCCCTACCCCAGTATGTTTGGTAAGCAGCCACCCTGTCTGTCTTTAAGCGATCTCTGAAAAATCATTTGTTCACGGAAGCCTACCCCACCTCCACCTAAGAACTGTACTTTGTTACCTCCACCAGATCATCCCTCGCAGCTATCACCTCCCCCTTCCTAGATTGTAAGCTCCATGAGCAAGGCCCTCCTATGTTTTATTTGTTATCCTAAGTGAAGAAAAAGTTCTAAAGTTACATTCTAATAAACAGAGTTACAAAGTTTATTAGAATATAAAATATATAATATTAGAATATACTATATTATAGTAATATTTTTAATTTACAATGACAACATTTAAAAAAAAACTAGCACTGCTCCAGGCAAAAGAATAAACTTTTTAAAAAAATTTTATCTCATTGTAGCTATAGATTCCATAACAGATCCCCCCTCATTTTAATTTAAAATGAAAATATAAAAAAAAACTAGCACTGCCCCCTAAAAAAAATACACTCTTTTAATTTTTATGTCATTGTATCTATAGATTCCATAACAAATTAC